AGCATTAGATTCTGTTGCATCAACTGCCTGGCCAAGACAAGTTACATTTTCTTTCAATGAACTCATTCACAAGTGCATCCTCAAGGCATATTTATCTGCATTTTATCAGTTCTTTTAATAGCATGGTCACCATTGACTCTTTTATTCTGATTTTGATGCAAAAACCATCAGACTTCTTTTGGGGCTCTTGACTTCAAGATCTATTTATCTAGCAATTGCTCTGAAAAAATGCTAATGGCAGACCACTACAGTAGGCTGATGATGTTTATGATATCTTAGGACTAACAACTGGGTCATGAGTGACAGCTGATGATGGAAGGATTACATATAGATGGGCTTAAGGGAAATATTAGAAATTAAAAATGTTAGAACTGACAAAATGCAGATAAACATACCTTGAGAATTCACTTCTGAATGAGTTTATTGAAAGTGCATCTAACTGATCTTAGCCAAGCAGTTAATACAACAGAATCTAAATTTGTACAAGTGAGTTCAAAACCTGCTAAAGATGCATCTGCAAGTGATCACCAGAGTCAAAATCTGTTTCTCTTGGAATATGCAAGTTTCAAACCTGCCAATGACAAGATTCATTTTCTATAAAAATGCATCTTGACATATGCTCATGGTTGGTTTTCTTGAAAGCTGTTCAGAGTTGTGTTCAGCCAATTAGTTGTTATGACAGAATCGAAATCTGTTTCTTTGGAATATGTGACAGATTTGAAACCTGTCGAATGTCACATTTTGTCTATTAGAACATGCCTTAATTATTGAATCATTGACAATCTCTCAGATGCTGATCTTTATCAGTCTTAGCTAAGTTCTCACCAGAGTCAAAATCTGTTTCTCTTGGACCATACAAGTTTTAAACCTACCAATAATAGCATTTTCTTTTCACAAAATCACATCTTAACATTTCCTCATGAATAATTTTCTCAAAAACTCATTTTAAAATGGTCTTAGCCACATCATTGCTACAATAGATTTAAAATCTATTCTCACCAAAGTCTGGAGGTTTGAAACCTGTCAGATGACACTTTTTCATATTGTAACATGTTCAATTGAATATCTGCTCATGGACAGTTTCTCAGACTTTGATCTTCATTGGTCATAGTTCAGCAGTTATCAAAGTCAAAAATGCGCAAAATATTGGATCAGCTGGCTCAGCCAAAACATCAGGTCTGCTAGTCAAAGTGTTTCTGCTTTTGGGATTTGAAACCATAGTTTTTTCCTCAAGTGAAGACATCATTAGCTTTCATACTAATAACACAGTCTGAGAATGTGATGAGTGATGTGGGTATTTGGGATATATCTTTGGGGTGACACAGAGATGTGTTTTGGGTATTTTGAGTATTGTCATGTATGTTTTTGGGTTTGACAATTCAAAATGAAACCTAGACCAGTTTAATATATGACTAAAGTCTTGATGCAAACTCAGAGGGATAGGTACAAAAGTCTTGACTTAGTTGAAGAAGAAGAAGAGTAGATTACATATCAAACCTTCAAGTTTGATTCTGATAACCTGGGGAATGAGCAAAAATACATATCTATCAACTTGAAGGCTCAGATTCTTTATTCACTGTGGAAATGAGAAAATAAATGGATCCGCATAGAGTATGAACATAGCCTGTAAATATACACAAAGCATAGTATGCAAATCAAGGCAAAGCACAGCAATTCAGATACAGAAAGGTTCAGTTTTGACATGCAAAACCAAGTACGAAACAATGAGATTTTCAGATGCGGGTTTGTTGCCTGCGTGTTAAGCAGACCTCAGGTTTAATATTGATTTGAATGATTTGCACATGAGATTATGGTTGGGTTTTCAACTGAAAGCGGATTGGATTATGATGTACATACAGACAGGAAGCATGTACCATATGGTGCCGACCTAGGGATCCTCCACATCCTGCAGGCTTTCCTACCTCCTTGCTGCTCTCTCTCCACAATGTGCGCACCCCAAGGTACTACTCAGAGATGCCTGAGTGGTGCCTATGTCATGTCAAACCATCCACAAATGAGCCCAGAGCATGCACAATAAGATATGATAGGTGCTTACCAGCTTCCTTGTACATATATCTTGCAGTCTGTTTTCTTATGGAGACTCTTAGCAGCATGTTTCTAAAATATATGCACTATTCAACAACATGAATGAAGACAAATTAGTAAGAAAAACTCAACAGATCTTCTGCAGCCAGTCCTGACTCATGTGCAGCGCTAGATGGCAGCTCCGAGTTGAGAGGCTCTGAGTCGCATGGATATATCAATAGCCTACATAGCAGTAGACAATTTAATAGTCAGCATTAGTTCAGTTTGACTAATTGGCACTTATCATAGGATATGGTCTTTTGCATTCAAAAGTGGACTTGAATGATCTCACCCGCATGGGCAGCTCAAGCTTGGTAGTGGTAGTAAAGTAAGGAAGACTTGGACAAAATTTCGAAATTTTACCTTGCTGCAAATCTACTGTAAACTGACATCGAAATCTTGGATTTTCAGAGCTGAATAGCCATGGAATAACAGGTATTTGCGAGGTGTAGGTATAGGTCGGGAAAATTGATAAGGTGAAGTCAGAAAATGGTCTGATCACATTTGTGACCTTCCCAGGATCTCTCAAAATTTGCAGCACATCGACTTTGGGTGGGGTTTACTGTTGCTGTCAGGTTTGGGTATGATTATACAACTTATCTATCTCAGAATAGGGTAGGACTATTTTCTTGTTTCTGCAGTGATTGTGCTTATTCAAGTGGTTGCCAGAGTCAAAATATATTGCTCTTGAACTGAGCAGGTTTGTAATTTGTATAACTTATGATTCATCACATTCCACCATTTTGTATTTCATAAAATAAAAATGTTGCTATTGGCAGGTTTCAAACCTGCATGGTCAAAGAGAAACAGATTTTAAATCTGATGACAACTTGACCAAGACCAATGAAGATCGAGGACATCTCAATCCTGGAATATCCAGCCCATCTGACCCATCTGACCCACTTGCATGTATAATGCAAATATCACGGTCACAACATACCACGTGAGTCACAGCGCCACAGTGCATGTTGCGGCTGACACTGTGACCAACTCTCAGGAGCCTTTTTAGAATAGGTTGAGGCCCAAAGGATGAGGTGAAGGACCCATTGTAGTATTCATTCAATTATGAGTATGTGGAATATATAATATTTAATGACATGCAAAACAATTATTAAAAAAATGTGTGAAAATGGTAAAATAATTGAGCTTGCTGTGTGCAACAGCGAGCACGAAGGTTTCAGCAATGCACGCAGTGAGGGCGCGAGCGTGCTTACCTATTTTGGTTATCATTTACACGTCGCTGTTGTATTAGGTACATGGGAACTACACATGATGCTAAGTCAACCATGGGTCAGATGTTCGGATGCCCTGGATATTCTAGGATCAAAATATTCTGTGAAGATCAGTGTCTGAGATGCTGTCTATGAGCAAATATTCAAGACATGTTCTTAGAGAAAAAATGCAACATTGGACAAGTTTCAAACTTGTTTCATTCTAATGGAAACAGACTTTGATTCTGGCATGACAGCTACTTGGCTAAACACAACTTTGATCATCTTGCAAGCAACCTGACCATGAGAAAATATCAAGGTGTGTTTTCATAGAAAAGGAATTTTATCATTCACTGCAGAAATGAGAAAATGCCTAGACTCTATCTGGATGTGGATGAGTCTTGTATCCAGACACAAACTGCACCTTGTGATGTATCTGTACACAAGCCAGACTTAGTAATTTGGAGGTTGCAGCTTTTTGACTTTGGACAAAAATGGACCCACAGTAGTTAGAGGTGACACAGTGTAAATACACCCAAACCAGACCACAGACATACATTCTTACCACCAAACCATACACATCCAAGTAGTGTTCTAAACTAGACACTAACCAGGCTACAGGTATCCTCAAAAGATGTATTCAGACATTAGGATAGCCCAAGGGGTCAAGTCACCACAAAAAATTGCTAAGTCCTTTTCTTTCACATCCAAATCATGCCGCTCATGTTCGAAGACAATACCATATACCTTAAACTACCTCTCAAGGTACCCTGAAATGATATGTGTCATGTTTATTCCAGACATACCTGGGCCCCTCATATGTTGTTTTTTTATTATTGTCAAAAATTAGTGTCTCATGTTGCTAGACAATCGAAATCATACCGTCCAATTGCAACACGAGGTCTCCCGAGACACCCAAGGAAAAAGGCATGTGCACATATTTTTTTGCATCAGATGTTACTGAGATGCTTCTAGCACTTCCCCAACACCCGCGCACATTTATTGGACCAGGAACTGACAACTCTCCTGCAAAACCACCCGTCCCCACAACACTCATCAGTAACATTGTTTTCCATCCTCTGAAAACTCCCATTGCTGATATTCCTGCCCCAGATGATAGTGTTATGGAGCCTGAGTCTGAAGTAGAGCCAGGAACTCCTGGTGTGGCCACAGACAAGGTTTGTTATTTTATACCTTACTACTTTCTGCCTGTTCATTTTTTTTCAGACTGTCATAAACACGAGCACTGGTACCAAACGTCCAGGCAGTCCCCTTGTTTCATACAAATTCCATACTACTCAATACTAAATATTTGTTCTGTATACATGCAAATGATTATATACTAGCTTGAGCACATGAAGATCATGTGATTTGTGATGTGTCAAAAATCATGCGCAGCTTCACCAGCCTCAGCTTGCCTTAGCTTTATCCATTCATCTGTAAACACCTCTGCCCTTAACACAGCTCATCAGCAAAATATTCTCCCAACAAATGTGACAGAAAAGGTGTCACTGCCAGGCTTTCAAGTGCAAAGGAGCCCTCATAGAAGAGCACACAGTACATGCTCATGCACAGTGTGATCTGCAAGAAAAAATGGTCGCATCACAGGCCAAATTCAAGCGGGTTGGAGAATGGTTTGTGCCAAGTGCTGCATACGACACTGGGCCGGTTCTTCATGGGTATTCAGTTCCTTTGCACAAGCCACAGCCCCTCTTGTCTCCCAATGCTCAATTTCAGGACCCACATTGTATTTCAGAATCCCCTGTTGAACAGGAATTGCTAGACTATGGTCTTCTCACTGGAGAAGACTTGGACCTTATGACTGATGGAATTGATCTGCCAAATCTTGGACCGAATTTCCACAGTCTTGAAGCATTGCTTGATTCTGTTGACCATTTTGGCGCATATAATGCTGCTACCAGTTTGGGCTCACATCCACTCACCTCATATGAAGCCCATCACCTCCCACATGACCCAGAACAGCACACATTAAATTGGCAAATTGAAGGTGCTTTTGAAGCAGTTCAAAATGAGGGTGGTAATGAGCATGGTTTTGATGATTTAGACATTGATGTTGATGGAACATTTGATCATCAAAACGAGGACAACAACAACCTTGTAATAACACCTATGAATCTGGATGAGGATGACCCCAATCCATTTATGCCGGAGGATGGTTTCAACTCAACACATGACAGGGACCTCACAGATGTTACACCTCATCTGATCACTATATACACGCTGGTCCCATGGTTACACCTCCAGTTCCACCTTCCACAAGCAGCATGCAATGTTTCACTGGCTATTCTGGGATGTATCCTCATGGCCCTATCTCCAGCGATTGACACTCCTTTCATCATACTGCAATCAAGCCACCATGTTCTTGGTGTTGATAAGAACATTTTTGTCCTTCCAGTGTGCTCTACCTGTCATGATGTTTTCCCTCCTGCTGGATCCACAAAATCGCATGACACTTGTATGCTTTGCAAAGTAGATCTATTCCTTCTGGATATGACAAAGCGGGGGAATCAGTGTGCTACAAAAATGCCTGTTGTAGAGTATCCATATCTTCCCATTTCTGAACAGATCAAGTCACTACTAAGGATCCCAGTGTAAAGAGTTGAGTCCTGGTGGGCTATACAAAAGGTTTTACCATAAGACTCAGTGTACAAGTGAGATGTTCATCCCAAAGAGACTGCCTGTAGGATTATCTCTTAATATAAAAATGCAAGGGATATCTTGTTAAGATCAAAAGAGAGAGAAGGAAAGATACCTTAAGTGCATCCAGAGTCCTGATGAATTGTCCGAAGTGTCTATAAGTTGTCTGAGGTGTCCGGTTGAGGTCCGACATCAAGAAACGAAGGTCCGCTGTAGGACTTGGAGTCCTTGCAGCCTTATAGAGGCTATTTCTGCAGCATCCCTTAGGTTTATGGGCAGCACGTGCAACTGATATCTCAGTGCGCTGAAGGTACAACAATTCAGATGGTGAGTCTGAACAATATGTTGGGTCTTGCAGAACCTAGCTGCTATTCGACCCTAAAGGGTTTCTGGACTAGGCTTAAGGCTCAGAGAAGAGGAAATATAATAGAAAACTGCTGAGCACTCAGACTCATACTGGTAAACTGGTGAAAAGATTGCTTGCTTATGTAAGCTACAAAAGTGCCAACATAAGGTAAGGTAAAAACAGTCTCTACAAGCCCAGCCAGAAATGAATCCCTACAGCGCCTCCTATATATTGTCAGCCGATGGTCGCGGCTCACATGCACATATCAGTTCATGTTGGCTCCCCTTCGGTTCCATCGTGCATCCTTCCTCTGTCCTATCCATGTCCTCCGCTTGTCCATTGGTGCGTATTTTACTTGTTTCATACTAGACTGACCATATCTCCAGTACTATGTTATTTATATTTCTATTACTTGTGTTATGAACCCTTATTACATATTACACTTATCTACTCAGCTCCAAAGAGCACTTAGTGCACTATCATATATATATACTTGTACTTAGGAATTTTTCATATATCTATCTCTCTCCCACAGATGAAATCTAAACTTCCGCTTGCACACAATAATGTCCTGACTCTAAAACTAAAGCAGTCTCCATATTGTTGCATGCTTCTTGAAGAAGGACACAAATATGCTGATTTTGTTTATTTCACATTATCAAATGATACTCCCTTCAACCGCTCTATCCTTATGAAGCGCGACACTTTTGCTCCTACTTTTATCACCGTCGCACACTTTCATGCACCAATGTATCTTAGATTGCTCAGCTTCACTTCGCGTCACATCATCATCAGCCTATTCACACTTGCATCGCACAGCACTAAATCTTACTTTCCATCCATCTCTAACTACCCTCACTAGTTTCAGTGGTTTCCCTCCATTATTTTACATAGAGGAATTGTTCTCAGTAGCAATCCCCTTGAGCTGAATCTATACTCATGTCCAGAGGTCTATTTGAGTTTTACCTTACTTCACCTGTTCTCCCCACTTCACCCCTTCTCATCTAGCTACCATTTCTCACACACACCACGTTTGTGCAAAGCTTCCGGTGGGCTTCCAGTGAAACAACAAGGTTTCCGGTGAGGAATACGGTGGTTTGTTGAAGTATAGAACTTGTGTAGTATAACTATGTGAAGTCCATCGAAATACTTTAGGGATATCAATAAGCAAAATGGCAGTGATCAAGCCAAACAACCGTTCTCAATGAACAAAGATCAATTGCGCAAAATACTAAAATCCATAAGTGACTCTACTAACTATGACTTGTAACCAGGGAAGTGAAGTGAGTTGCAAGTATTAACGAGCCAGATTATATCCTACTGCATGAAAGTCCAGAATCTGTGTAGGCGAAAACTGTAGCGAGATAAGCCATCCGAAATGTAATAAGACTCAAGGTGAGCTGCTATGAAGATATACATGTAATAATGCACAAGGTGCATATCTATATGTATTAGCAAGGTTTTTCAATGTATGTGCCCCTAGACATAATCAATAACAGATAACCAAGTGAAAAACACACCAGTGAAGTCAAACAGACAAGGACAGGACATGGTACGGAGGACCAGAAAAGCTAAATAGGCCTCGGAATTGGATGGATGGCCTTCAGATGACTCGGACAAGTGTGCAGAACTTTCAGAAGGTTGGAAGAATGTTGAGGGATGTAATGTGTGAATTTGGCAGAATATGTGCCCAACACTGATCCTAGTGTTACACCAGGCCTTGAAGCACTGCTGGATAGCTGGCGCTTGAAATATTGCACACCAGGTGAGTATATAGACATCTTTTATGGTGATATATGTCAGACCCAGCTCAAAGACCCCAACAGGACACCTTTATTTTCAAACCTTCCGCACAAGAAGCATAAGCCACATGGTGAACTTCATATAGGTGTCAAACTAGGTGTTGACTGGTAAGTCACTGGCACATAACTGTGAATTACAAATCACTATCGATACATAACTAGGTTTTCATACATCTGGAGCAATATTGCACCATCACACTTGTCATGCCCTACATCATTTTCTATATGCAACCTTCTGCCAGAATATCAGTGAGTTTTATCTCTCTTCACTTATTACACTTCATCAATAAATCCACACATTCCTTGTTTGGCTTTTCTGCCACTTGCTGTTACTTAATTTCCCACAAGAAGCAGATAAGTCGCTGGCAAGGATGGTAGAAACCACTTGCTGCAAGTTGCTGCAAGTTCAACAAGTACATCCCTCCTCTTGTTTTGCACTTTTTCCTACTTGCCTCACACTTATTTTATACTTACTTTGTACTTATGCTCACTTAGTAATTCATAAAAAACTGCATTTCAAGCAAAGCAATTGTATTAATATAGAGGGAGAGTAAGTATGACAGTCTGAAATTATAGTACTAGTAGTAGCCTTAGTAGTACTCCACTTGTCTCTAACTCTTTCTCTCTCTTCCTCTCATCCTTTTCTCATCTTCGGTGTCCTGGTGTCGTCCACAAGTGTTCACACCACATCAGCACTTGCTGGTGTGTGTTGGGCATTTGTGCATGGTGCTGGTGGCATTGGACATGGCATGGTGGTTATTGGCATGTGTTGGGTGTTGGTGTATGTTGGGTGTTTGCGCATGGTGCTGGTGGTGGTGTTGGACACAGTGTAGAGAATCATGCCTCTCATGGCGTTGTATAAACAACAATACTGAGAGGAACAATTGAATGCTCCTGACTGTATCTATAAAATGTTGTAGGTCGTGCATTGCCTAGTCTGTGTTACTTGAGGAGACAAGTGCATTCGACCCTAAAGGGAAGCGAGTGCAGCAAAGATCTAGAGGTACGCGTTGAAGCGAGGCGCGAGAAAGCGCAGGTGCGTGCAAGGTACGAAGGCGCGGGAACGCGCGGGAAGCACGGGAAAGCGCGCGCGCGTGTGCGGAAATGAGAAAGAGTAAGCTTAAGTGAGGATATGATGTAAGACAAGTGAAGAGAGGTGCAAAGTGCAGACAAATAGATTTCTACTATGTTCAGCTAGGTAAATAGTGGGTGGTACTCAAGTCAAAAGTAAAGTTGGGTGAAAAGTAAGTGGAAAACTGTAAAAGTGAGTAGTACTATGTACTGCTGGCGCTTATATAGCGCGCCTAAGCGCGGTCATGCGGAGCCGAAGCGCTACCGAGTAGGTATGTAAAGATATATATAAGTAAGGGTCCATTATAAAAATAGAGGTGGAATGATATGCTAATAAAAGAAATGGAAATATACGCACTAGAGGGCTTGGTGGACAGTGGATGGATGCTTCTGGATGGCTGGCGCTATAGGGCGGGAACGCGCGCGCATATACATCGCGAAGCACGGGAATGGTGCGCGCATGGTGCGCGTTGCACAGGAAAGTTGCACCTCATATAGGGATAGCTGCGGGTAGCGCATGGAGTGACACTACAAGTTTGTGCTATGTACTCCTTGGTGGGAACTGCCATATTGCGCCATGAGAGGCATGATTCTCTACAGCGTGATATGGCAGTTCCCACCAAGGAGTACATAGCATGAATTTGTAGTGTCACTCCGTGCGCTACCCGCAGCTATCCCTATATGAGGCGCAACTTTCCCGCGCAATGCGCGCCATGCGCGCACCATTCCTGCGCTTCGTGATATATCCGCGCGCGCGTTCCCGCACTTGAGCGCCCTATAGCGCCAGCCATCCAGATGCATCCATCCACTGTCCACCATATTCTCTAGTGCGTATATTTCCATTTCTTTTATTAGCATATCATTCCACCTCTATTTTTATAATGGACCCTTACTTATATATATCTTTACATACCTATTCGGTAGCGCTTCGGCTCCACATGACCGCGCTTAGGCGCGCTATATAAGCGCCAGCAGTACATACTACGAGAGGAACTTTTCCTACTTTTCACCCAACTTTACTTTTGACTTGAGTACCACCCACTATTTACCTAGCTGAACATAGTAGAAATCTATTTGTCTGCACTTTGCACCTCTCTTCACTTGTCTTACATCATATCCTCACTTAAGTTTACTCTTTCTCATTTCCACACACGCGCGCGCGCTTTCCCGTGCTTCGTGCTAATACGTGCGTGCGTTCCCGCGCCTTCGTACCTTGCGCGCACCTGCGCTTTCTTGCGCCTCGCTTCAGCGCGTACCTCTAGATCTTTGCTGCACTCGCTTCCCTTTAGGGTCGAATGCACTTGTCTCCTCAAGTAACACAGACTAGGCAACGCACGACCTACAACAATTTATAGATACAGTCAGGAGCATTCAATTGTTCCTCTCAGTATTGTTGTTTATACAACGGCATGGTGGTTGTTGGTATGTGTTGGGCATTGGCATATGTTGGACGTTGGCACATGGTGCTGGTGGTGATGTTGGATGCAGTGTGGTGGTGGTGTTGGGCATTGGCGCATGGTGCTGGTGTTGGGCATTGGTGCATGGTACTGGTGGTGTTGAACATGGCGGTGTGGTGGTGTTGGGCGTTGGCACATGGTACTGGTGATGTTGGGCATTGGTGCATGGTGGTGGTGTTGGGTGTTAGTGCATGGTGGTGGTGTTGGATGCGGCATGGTGGTGGTGTTGGATGCAGCATGGTAGTGGTGTTGGACACGGCATGGTGGTGGTGTTGGGCATTGGCGCATGATGTTGGGCATTGGCACATGGTGTTGGGTGCTGGCACATGGTACTGGTGGTGTTGGACGTGGTGTGGTGGTGGTGTTGGGCATTGGCGCATGGTGCTGGTGGTGTTGTATGTGGTATGGTGGTCACACATCGGGGTGAACGATATTTAAAAGAGGTTTATATGTTGTACAAAATGTGAAGACAATATTTAATATTTAAACTGACATAAAGATGGGTGCACGACTTCAAATTTTGGTGGTGTTTTGTGTGTCATCCAAAATATCAAATATTCACAACCATATTCCCACAGACAATATGTCAACAAATATAATAAATATAATCAGATTTTCCATGTCTGCTTCAATTTAAAGTTTGATTCTTACATAAAACTTTGGAGAAAACTTGAAGTTTTGCCAAAGCTTGACATTTAAATCGAGTTTTAATGTCATGTCATCTGTAAAACTTCAAGTTTTCTCCAAAGTTTTACATGGAAATTGAACTTCAAGTTGAAGCAGACATGAAAAATCTGACTATATTTCTTATGTTTGTTGACATATTGTCTGTGGGAATATGGTTGTGAATATTTGATATTTTGGATTACACACAAAACACCACCAAAATTTGAAGTCATGCACCCATCTTTATGTTAGTTTAAATATTAAATATTGTCTTCACATTTTGTACAACATATAAACCTCTTTTAAATATCGTTCATCCCAATGTGTCATTGGGGTATGCATTCAAACATGAGGGAGTGGTGGGTGGGACTGGAGAAAGCTGAAGGTGTTGTCAGTACAATATGATAAAATAAAACAAAGAACCCACCGCTCACAAAATTCAAACATGAGGGAGTGGTGGGTGGGACTCGAGAAAGCTGAAGGTGTGAGTGAGGAGGTGTGAAGTTAATACAAAGGACTTACTTGGAGCTAGATAAGAAAAGTATTACTACTAGGTGGCAGCATGGTTGGTAGAAAGGTTGCAACATTGAATGACTTGTCAAAATGTAAAATGATAATGTCACGACTCACAATCATTACGGTTGACTATGTGTATCAGGATTGATTTTACCAATGCAGATTTTTTATTGTTGTATTACATTGTTTGTATTGTTAATTTCCCCACACCACCACAACTCCGATGCCATAATAATCAGCGCACTCATCGTCGTTGTCATTGTCATCATCCCCATCAAGCTTGTCATTGCTGTCACAGAGCTTGTCATCACCATCAACGCGCTTGTCATCACCGTCAGTGTCTACTATATCAACACGCATTATTTGGACCGTTCATTCCACACCGCTACAACTCTTTGTTAGACTTCAGTGTCATCATTATCAATGCACTTGTCGTCGTCAAGCTTTCCCTCACTGTCATTGAGCTCATTGTCACCGTCACAAGATCCCGATGAGTTATATATCACTTGAACCACACTGGAATAGCAGGATTTGTTACTCGGGATGAACTTAATGCTAGGGTATAAAATCTGTGTTTTCTTGGGCCTTGTATGTGACCATTATTTTCAATGTTAATCAGACCCCACAAATTATTGTGTTGTGCTACAAGATGGACTCACACTCAGATAATCTCAACTCTCAGGATTTTAAGGTAGGTCTTCATTCATTCGAGTGGTCTGTGCCAGGTTGTAATTTGTAAAGACATCCTATCAAGTGACGAGCTATTGCAGTCACTGTTATATTTGCTTCCTGAGGAAGACAGCGTTTTCGAAGCGAGATTCTTTATAGATATCACACGAAATAATCTGGCACGGCAACTTGAGCCCTCTGGCTATATAAACTGAGTGACGTGACTCACAACAACATTGGTATTGATTTTTGCCCTCAGGGTTTTGGACAAGGCCAGAGGTACCTTCTTCAACGATTAGAGTCTCTAACTCATCAGATACATCTTCACTCAGAGCCTTGTCAGCATCATGAGACTCCATGAAATGGATGGAAGATATAATGTTTAGAGTGCATGCACCTGATACAGCACAAGAACAAGAAGGGGGATTTTATACTAGCTGTCTGGCATCATTAGTGCTGCCATGGTCCAGTCCAGAACCATGGTTCGAACCGGACTTTTGGTCCAGTTCTCCATGGTTCGGTCCATGGTTCTCGTGCCAGCCAGAACTGGACTGGAAAATGGTTCTCGGTTCTAGATCTTCCCAAATGGTCCAGTTCTGGTTCGACCTTCCTGAACCATTTCCAAACCCCAAACCCATTGTCGACTTTGACTTCAACTATGACAACGTCAAAGTGTCGTCTTCTGGATTTGCACTATTGGTTAATTAGGCTACCTTTAGCCTTTTTGAAGGTTAGTACTAATCAATCAACTCTCAAGACTCTCACCGACTGACATACATTTAACTATATCACAGATATCTACTTGTTCCAGTCTATATGCTTCCTGGACCGTCATGATCCTCCACCGGCTGTTAACTCTAATGGATCTCCTTGGATATTGTTGCTCTGGGATGTTTGGGTTTGCTCCATGCATAAAATGAGGTGTCAACAACAAAATTGTGAGTTATTTGCCTGACGATGTCTGAAGACTGCTGTGCTCTTAATGCTGATGGCTCCCTCAAGGATGCTTCCGATATCACCTTCTTCAATGATCCTGATGATGAAGTACCATTGCCCCAGGTCCCACCTTCCACCCAGCCATTATCTTCAACTACATCCACAAAAGATGCCTTTTCTGTTCTGCTCAAGGCTGGACACACTCCAGCAACAGTCACAGCTGGTTCTTGGCGCTCTGGCCGGCCCTCAAAACCATCAGCTCGTATTCGTGATGCTGACAATGCCTGTGGGCTGTCTTCATTTTCGGTGTAGAAACAACAATACTGTGAGGAGCAAATGATGCTCCTGACTGTATCTAAAAATGTTGTAAGGTCGTGCATTGCCTAGTCTGCGTTACTTGAGGAGACAAGTGCGTTCGACCCTAAAGGGGAAGCGAGTGCAGCGAAGATCTAGAGGTATGCGCTGAAGACTGCGACTTTCTAGGTTAGTAAGTAGTAGGTAAAGTGAGAGGTGAAGTTCAAAAGTAAGTGTGAAGTTCCGTAAAAAGGTAAGTTTTAGTCAGATAAAAAGGTGAGGAGTAGTATGTACTGCTGGCGCTTATATAGCACACTGTAGAGACTCATGCCTCTCATGGCATGACATGGCAGTTTCCACCAAGGAGTGCATAGCATGAACTTGTAGCGTCACTCTGTGCGCTACCCACAGCTATCCCTATATGAGGCGCAGTTTTCCCGCGCCACGCGCGCACTCTTCCCGCGCTTCACGATGTATATGCGCGCGCACTTTCCCGCGCTTGAGCGCCCTATAGCGCCAGCCATCCAGATGCATCCATCCACTGTCCACCATGTTCTCTAGTGCGTATATTTCTATTTCTCTCATCTGCATATTGTTCCATCTTTATTTTTATCATGGACTCTCACCCATATATATCTTACATACCTACTCGGTAGTGCTTCGGCTCCGCATGACCGCGCTTAGGCGCGCTATATAAGCGCCAGCAGTACATAGTACTAGAGAGGGGGAACTTAACTTACTTTTTCAACTAAACTTTCCAACTTACCTTACCTTACTTTACTTTCCACCTACTACTTACTACCTAGAAAATTGCAGTTGAAATCTAATTGTCTATACTTCACATCTCTCTTCTCTTGTCTTACATCATATCCTCACTTAAGCTTACTCCTTCTCATTTCCGCACGCGCGCGCGCTTTCCCGCGCCTTCATACCTTGCGCGCACCTGCGCTTTCTGGTGCTTCGCTTCAGCACGTACCTCTAGATCTTCGCTGCACTTGCTTCCCCTTAAGGGTCGAACGTGCTTGCCACCTCAAGCATAGCAGACTAGGCAATGCATGACCTTACAACATTTTTTTAGATACAGTTAGGAGCTTCATTTGTTCCTCTCTGTATTGTTGTTTCTACAGCACCTAAGTGCGCACATATACATCGCGAAGCGCGGGAATGGTGCGCGTTGCGCGGGAAAGCTGCGCCTCATATAGGGATAGCTGCAGGTAGCGCACAGAGTGATGCTACAAGTTCGTGCTATGTACTCCCTAGTGAAAACTGTCATATCAGACCATGAGATGCACGAGTCTCTACATCAGGCACAAGGAAGTGTGCTTTATCAAGCACTACGGACCATCCAGCACCTAAGAAAGTTGCAGTTGCCATGCGAATCCTATCTCCTCTTGACTCTGAAGACAAAGATATACCTTCTATGCCTGATCTAGGAGAGTCATCTGCTGACAAACTGATCCCCCAACCAGAGAACAACGATGAAGCCGATGAAGCTAAGTCTGAGAATGGGGGCACCACTTTGACTGTACGTACCTCATTTTATTGTCTTCCTTAGTCTTGACTAATGCCTGTATCTAGCTTTCAAAAAGCGAACATACGGCGGACACTAGGACTATATTTACCTGCTTACCTGATGGGTGGGTCTGTACCCTGTGCAAGTAAGTTGTCCATATTGTTTTTGATATTTCTTTTGACAACTTTCAAACAAGGGATGCTGGTGAACCAGTACAGAAGCACACATTTCGCGGAGGCACTTCGACACTGTGCACACACATTGTCCATCACAAAAGTCCCATTTTCAAGTCTACAAGGAGCGTTGTGATGCCACAGGCATCACAATGCACTCTCATGCAATTCCACCTGGAGAAGATGTCACCATGACGCAAATGCAAATGACTCTCGATGGCAAGCTTGTTTGCAAACCACCCGTGTTCACCAAGGAAGGGCTACTCGAATATATCATGGAACTCATTGTCACGGAAGATGAGGTATGTCGATTTTTTTTATATTTATATTCATTTGAGATTTATTTACATCATGCCAGGCAATACAATTAATCGATAAGCCAGCATTTCGACATTTATTGCAGTATGCACATCCATCCCTGACTGAAAAAGACATCCCGCATTGCACCAAGTTAACAGATACCATTAAGTCTCGAGCAATGACCGTGGTTGAAAATATCAAGGAGCATCTAGCGGTGAGTCTTGACCTACTTATATTGTGGCGCCAGTCTTAAAACATTTCATTAGCATATTGACAGTGTGGTCTCCATGACATTTGACTCATGGACCTCGATCATTGGCAAACCTTTTTTTTGGTTACTACATCGTGAAGGGCGGGAAGTGTGCGCGCATGGCGCGCGTTGCACGGGAAAGCTGCGCCTCATATAGAGATAGCTGCAGGTAGCGCACAGAGTGACACTACAAGTTCGTGCTATGTACTCCCTAGTGAAAACTGTCATATCAGACCATGAGACGCACGAGTCTCTACAGCGCATTGCATGGGAAAGCTGTGCCTCATATAGGGATAGCTGTGGGTAGCACACGGAGTGACGCTACAAGTTCGTGCTATGTACTCCTTGGTGGAAACTGCCATATCATGCCATGAGAGGCATGAGTCTCTACATCTCCCAGGGACTTTAAATTCTGAGTGTCCCCACTCAGCGCGTGTGTGGTGAGGATCTTGCGTGATAGTATGCAAGTGCGATGCATGTATGATGCTTGGGTTGTTGGGTGATGAATGCCCGAGTGCAGGAATTATTGTGTGATGTGCAAAGCGTGGGAAGGTGTAGGTGCGCGTGAGATGTGAAGGCGTGGGAATGCACGCACATGCACAAGGCGCAACAATGCACATAGCATGGTGAATTGCGAGGGTGACTCTGGTGTGAATAGTGTGCCATGGGTGTGGGGCGATGATGCAAGGGTGATATGGATGTGGTGTGCGAAGCGTGAGCAAGACGTGCATGTACAGCGTGAAGCGCGGGAAAGCGCGCGCGCACAAGGCGCGAGAAAGCGCATGAGTGTCGTGTGTGTTGTATTGTGCGTATGATACGAAGTGGCGTGGTCCAAGAGCGATCCAATCCATTTCCAGACCAAGTCCTGCTAGGCACACTAAATATTAGGTGCTAAAGGTTTGAACAGCATGAGTAAAACTATATGTGAAAATGCGAAGGAAAAAATGGTAAACTTTGCGGATGTCCTATCCGACTTGTCTTCTTCATGTGGCTGTCAACATCTACACCTTCCTATGAGCAAGGCGCGGGAAGCGCGCATGTGCATGCATGAGGCGCATGGGCGTGGGAATATTGCATGCATGGTGCGCATTCTAAGGTAAAAAGAAGCATGGTGCCGCGTCATGCATGTGAAGAGAAAATAATACTATTGAGCTAGGCGAGCACAATCTAAGGTTGTTTTCTTGTATGTTCTTCTATGCAATCCCTATATGCATATATATCAGTGAGTTATTAGTCCTTAGGACGGTGTTATAGTGAGAGAAAATGAAAATGGAAGAGCGCTGGATGAAACCCAGGGTAAAATGAATGGTATCCTATGAAACAGCGTTGTTATATGTTCCTCCTTTGATGTGCCACTGAAGCACTCGATCCTCCTCCTTGAGCGCGTGCGAGTGCGCATAATAGCGCACTTTGCGTCTCTTGCAAGCTAACACGTTACCCAAGGTAGGGTTGGAATGTGCAAGGCTGGCGTGCTTGGGGGGGCTTGTGACTGGCAGAATGAATTCCTGCACAACGCGCTGCAGGTTGAAGGCGCACCAATGGGAGGCGCTGAAAGGGGTGTAGGGGCGCCTTACAAGCTGATAGGGTGCGCGCGATGTGCGCGCCTTGAAGCAATTTCATGCGAATTTGATTATATTGGCCGAACATGCGAGGAACGGCCGTTTCTCTGGAAATGTGTTAGTGAGAGATGTATATAATGTGAAATTAGGCGCAAATGATGCGCAAATGGGCTGGAAAGGTGGTATATCAAGGCGCAGTAGGCGCATAGGCGAAGGAAAAGAGTGCCCATCGGGGCGTGCAGGAACGAAATCGACATGGTAAGCAAAAGCACAAAGAATGTGAATAAAGGTGGGAAGTGCGAAGTTAAAGATGATGATAGGGGAGTTAGGTGCATATGTATGTATCAGGCACGCGCCTAAGTCGCGCCTGTATGACTGATTGTAGTATACCTTGTGTTGAATGACAGAAATGAAATTTAAAAGGGGAGAAGTGATAGAAATGCGATAATGTGAAAACTCTGCTAATTTTATGAATGCGCGAGGCGCGGGAATGCGTGTGCATATTGCATGATGCGTGCGATCATGGCGCATGAACAAGGGGTAGTGCAAAGATGAAATTGAAGTGTTTGGAATTGTTGTATAGCTCCTTAAGAGCTTCAAACATGAAAAAGACAAACAGCGCGAAATGAGACGAGAGTAAATATACAATGCCTCTAGGCGCGCGCATTGCGCGTCCTCAGGCGCAATATTGTGTGCCTGAGTCATGCCAGGGTCGCCTGAGACATGGTCTGCTTGGTGGTTAGGCGGCGTGATGCACGGATGCTTTACCGGCATGCAATAGTCACTGGAAGCAAAAAGCGCGATGCGCGCGTGAGCATTAGTGGCAGGTGGAGTTACCAGAGGCAAACTCTGGTTGATGCAAGGTGCGACTTGAGCCTTTGATGCGGTAGGAGGCTCCTCTATAGGCGCGCTAAGGCGCAATAGATATTTAGGATCATCCCTGACCTCTGATGATGTGAATGGCGAATGCGGTGATGGTGATGGTGCAATTGGCATGACTTCTTGCTTGAGTGATGCGATAGGCGAGCGCGTTTCGAGCGATGGTGTAATAACGTCCATAATGGGCGCGTTATTGTGCAATAGATGTTTAGAGTCATCCCTGACTGCTGGCAATTCGATAGTGGTAGGCGCACACATTTCGAGCAATGGCGCATTAGTGTGCAATAGATGTTTAGAGTCATCCCTGACTTCTGGCAATGCGATAACGATAGGCGCGCGTGTCTCGAGTGATGGCGTGCGAGTGTGCAATATATTTTTAAAGTCATCCCTGACTTCTGGCGATGCGATTGATGGTGATGATGATGCGGATTGTGAAGGAGATGGTGCTGATGAGGATGATGGTGAAGAGGCGCCTGCAGTGCGCTTCTGGTTGCGCTTCACGAGCGCACGCTCGAGTTCGTGATCTGAAGCGGTGCATTCTGTTATGGCTTTGCATGCTGGTGCAGTTGATGGTTGAGGTGCGCGTAAATCGCGCAAAGGCGCGGGAAAGGTGTGCGTGCGAGGCGCTGTAGAAACAACAATACTGAGAGGAACAATTGAATGCTCCTGACTGTATCTATAAAATGTTGTAGGTCATGCGTTGCCTAGTCTGTGTTACTTGAGGAGACAAGCGCGTTCGACCCTAAAGGGAAGCGAGTGCAGCAAAGATCTAGAGGTACGCGCTGAAGCGAGGCGCGAGAAAGCGCAGGTGCGCGCAAGGTACGAAGGCGCGGGAACGCGCGCGCGTATTAGCGCGAAGCACGGGAAAGCGCGCGCGTGTGTGCGGAAATGAGAAAGGGTAAGCTTAAGTGAGGATATGATGTAAGACAAGTGAAGAGAGGTGCAAAGTGCAGACAAATAGATTTCTACTATGTTCAGCTAGGTAAATAGTGGGTGGTACTCAAGTCAAAAGTAAAGTTGGGTGAAAAGTAAGTGGAAAACTGTAAAAGTGAGTAGTACTATGTACTGCTGGCGCTTATATAGCGCGCCTAAGCGCTGTAATGCGGAGCCGAAGCGCTACCGAGTAGGTATGTAAGGATATATATGGGTGAGAGTCCATGATAAAAATAAAGGTGGAACACTATGCTAATAAAGGAAATGGAAATATATGCACTAGGGAGCTTGGTGGACAGTGGATGGATGCATCTGGATGGCTGGCGCTATAGGGTGCGCGTATACATCGCGAAGCGCGGGAATGGTGCGCGCATGGCGCGCATTGCGCGGGAAAGCTGCGCCTCATATAGGAATTGCTGTGGACAGTACACAGAGTGGTGCTGCGAGTTGGTGCTGTATACTCCCTTAGTGGAAACTGCCATATCACGCCATGAGAGGCATGAGTCTCTACAGTGCGAGAATTGGAACTGGTGGCTTTCTGTCAAGTACAACATCTGAGGGTGCGGATAGAAGAGTCCAGCTGTTGCATTAGCACTAATGGTCATATCCTGGGTTGCACGGCTCGTGTAGTAGCGATCTTGGCACTTAGCCACTGGTGCACTAACTGGCATGCTTGGCACTACCATGGGTGTGCTAACTGGTGCACTTACTGGTGCGCTTGGCGCGGGAAAAGCGCGCCCAGATAGTAGGAACTGCGCAGCTGCAAAGACGTCCATGAATGGGTATGGGTCGTATGGATGGTGGTCAGGGAACTTGATCATAAGGCGCAAGCGGATTTGTGCCTGAGCATCGCTAGGGATTCCTTCCATGAATAAGCGGTTGCGTTCAGCCTTTCCAATGCGATCTTCATCCATAAGTGGCTGCATAATCTTCTTGAATGCGCGCAGGTAACTGCTTAGTTCTGTGCAAGAGGGCATTGGTTTGTTAGCGTATTCATGCGCGATGGCGCGCAAGTCTGCGAGTGCATAGCGTCTTTTACCATCCCATCCAGGATACATTACCTTCACCTCATCTAAGAAGACATTGTAATTGCTTACTTGCACTTCAGGCATGCCTCCCCATAGTTCTTGATCATCATGTTCAAGGTAGCGAATAATACCTTTAATGTGGTCGAGTCCTTGGAGTCCTGTTTCATCAGTGAGCTGCTCATATGTGTCAATAAATTCAGTGAGGTTGTCTGTAGTACCATCAAACTTGGGCACATTTGCTGTGCCGCGGATGGGCATTCTATAAGGCATTTAGAGCGTGAAAAAGGTGCGCGTGCAAGGCGCACAGGCGTGGGAAAGCGCGTACGCAAGGCGCGAAAATGCATAACTAAAAATTGGTTAGTATGTACTGCTGGCGCTTATATAGCGCGCCTAAGCGCTGTAATGCAGAGCTGAAGCGCTACTGAGTAGGTATGTAGAGATATATATAAGTAAGGGTTCATGATAAAAATAAAGTGGAACAATATACAAATGAGAGAAACAGAAATATACGCACTAGAGAACTTGGAGGACAGTGGATGGATGCATCTGGATGGCTGTCACTATAGGGTGCTCAAGCGCGGGAACGCGCGTGCGCACGCATATACATCGCGAAGCGCGGGAAGGGTGCGCGCATTGCATGGGAAAGCTGCGCCTCATATAGGGATGGCTGCGGGTAGCGCACAGAGTGATGCTACAAGTTCGTGCCATGTACTCCCTAGTGAGAACTGTCATATCAGACCATGCGACGCATGAGTCTCTACACCGAAGCTATTGTCGAGGATGGTTTTGGTGTTGGCAATGCTGTTGGAAAAGCATTGGCTCTCATTGAACAGGTAAAGTTTTTTTTTGTCTTCAAGTTCTCATTGACACAACCAATAATTAGATCTGCAAATCACTGCAAGCTCAAGCATTTTTCAAGAAATCATGTGAGGAAGAAGGTGTTGCTGTTCACAAGATTTTGACATGGGTGAGAACACACTGGGCATCCTTATTCAAGTGCCTCGAGCGCTTCTTGTCTCTTCGCCTGGTAAGTGAGACGTACAATCACCTGTTTAGTATCCAACATCTTTCAGGCTGTCAACTGCTTCACTCTTCTGGCCAATGAGAACCACAAAGTCCCCAAGCTGCGCAACAAGTCGTATAGTGACTTCAAGCTTGATAGAGCCGACTGGAGAAAGATACGGCTAGTGTATGATGTCCTCAAGGTAGTTATTTGTATATTCATTTTCATTTTATTTACTGATTGTTATAGGAACCTGCTGTAGAAGAGGAATGGGAAGTGGGGTAATATGAGTGGTATGAGATAACTCAAGTAGTCCTCGATGAGCAAGATATATGTCGGCCCAAGGGGATTGCTACTGAGAAGGTTCCTCTAAGTGTATAAAATGGAGGGAAACACTGGACCGGGCACTTGGTCAAGCTTAGTAAGGCGCGCTGTAGAAACAACAATACTGAGAGGAACAAATGATGCTCCTGACTGTATCTGTAAATAGTTGTAAGGTCGCGCATTGCCTAGTCTGCGTTACTTGAGGAGACAAGTGCGTTCGACCCTAAAGGGGAAGCAAGTGCAGCAAGGATCTAGTGATATGCGCTGAAGCGAAGCGCAAGAAAGCGTGCAGGTGCGCGCGAGGCACGGGAACATGCGCGCGTATTGGCGCGAAGCGTGGGAAAGTGCGCACGCATATGCAGAAATGATAGAGAGACTAGACTTAAGTGATAATATGATGCAAGAGATTGCAGAGTGCGAGATGTAAAGGAATAGAGTTCTACTATGTTCTGCTAAGTAGTAAGTAAGTAGTAACAGGTAATTGGCAGGTAAAGTAAGTGGTAGGAAAAGTAAGTTTTAGGAAAAAGTGGAAAGTGAGTAGTACTATGTACTGCTGGCGCTTATATAGCACACCTAAGCGCTGTAATGCAGAGCCGAAGCGCTACCGAGTAGGTATGTAAGATATATATGGGTGAGAGTCCATGATAAAAATAAAGATGGAACAATATGCAGATGAGAGAAATAGAAATATATGCACTAGAGAACATGGTGGACAGTGGATGGATGCATCTGGATGGCTGGCGCTATAGGGCGCTCAAGCGCGGGAAAGCGCACGCATATACATCGTGAAGCGTGGGAAGAGTGCGCGCATTGCGTGGGAAAGCTGCGCCTCATATAGGGATAGCTGTGGGTAGCACACAGGAGCCCCTTCAGTGACAAATTCCGTATTATACGAGCCACCCGACCTCCATAATATCCCGTATGAGACGGGCCAGCTGATCATGGGCCCATGTTGTGTATATTCTCGATGATGACGGATGGGCCGGGACACATATTATTTCTGATGGAGATGGGTGGGCCCATGTATGCCAATGATATATATATCCTTAATGTTGACGGATGGGCCGGGGGAATATGATCATTCATGGAGATGGGTGGGCCCATCTGGGTAATATGTAGAGTAGCATATTATAGACAGCTGGGCTGAAGAGAGATGTAAGGCAAATATTGTTATATAGACGGGCGGGCCGACGTGGGTGTATTACATATATGGGTGGGCCGAGGTAGGGAAATATTACATAGACGGGTGGGCTGACGTAGGGTGTATTACATATACAGGTGGGCCGACGTGGAATGTATTACATATACGGGTGGGCCAACGAAAGGGATATCAAATAGACCGGTGGGCCGAGGGTGCTATAAAATATTTATTACATAGACAGGTGGGCCGAGGTGGGGTATAATTATATAGACGGGTGGGCCGATGCAGGATGTATTATATAGACGGGTGGGCCAACATAGGATGTATTACATAGATGGGTTGGCTGACGTGGGGGATAATACATAGATGGGCGGGCCGTCGGGGGTGTATTACATATATGGGTGAGCCTAGATATGTTCCATCAAGACATACAGCTGATGTAGCCACCAGCGAATCAAACACATAGGATACATGTACACTATGAGTGCATATACCTACCATCAACCACCAAATCTAAACCCCTAAGCACAAAAACATGAATCGATCATGTGTGGCATTGACCAATAATCCAGGACTGAAGTGGAAAAACCCCACACCTGAACCCTGGTGTGCAACAAATCCTATTTCTAAGCATGGACACCAGAAGCACAACACTCACAAAAATATATATGTCAAATTTTCAGTGCCAAACCCCAAACCGAGATGTACCAACCCCTGAAACCCAAAACCTGAGACTGCCGGGTCTCAGGTATCGGGTGTCCGGAACTCGGAACTTGGGAGAATTTGGGGAGATCAATACAATTTAATTTACAATCGAGTTGATTGACAACACATTGACTTACCCATGTTTGCAATATATTTTTGTTTAGACATACCGAGTTCCGAGTTCCGGACACCCGATACCCGAGACCCGAGACTGCCGGGTTTTGGGTGTCGGGTGTCCGGAACTTGGAACTTGGGAAAGTTTGGGGAGATCAATACAATTTGATTCACAATCAAGTTGATTGACAAACACATTGACTTAACTATGTTTGCAATATATTTTTGTTTAGACATACCGAGTTCTGAGTTCCGGACCCCCAGACCCCGAAACCTGAGACTGCCGGGTCTCAGGTATCGGGTGTCCGGAACTCGGTATGTCTAAACAAAAATATATTGCAAACATAGTTAAGTCAATGTGTTTGTCAATCAACTTGATTGTGAATCAAATTGTATTGATCTCCCCAAACTTTCCCAAGTTCCGAGTTCCGGACACCCGACACCCGAAACCCGGCAGTCTCGGGTCTCGGGTATCGGGTGTCCGGAACTCGGAACTCGGTATGTCTAAACAAAAATATATTGCAAACATGATTAAGTCAATGTGTTGTCAATTAACTCGATTGTAAATTAAATTGTATTGATCTCCCCAAATTTCCCCCGAGTTCCGAGTTCCGGACACCCGATACCCGAGACTGCCGGGTGTCGGGTGTCGGGTGTCAGGTGTCCGGAACTTGGAACTTGGGAAAATTTGGGGAGATCAATACAATTTGAGTCTCGGGTATCGGGTGTCCGGAACTCGGAACTCGGGGGAAATTTGGGGAGATCAATACAATTTGATTCATAATTGAGTTGATTGACAAACACATTGACTTACCCATGTTTGAAATATATTTTTGTTTACACATACTGAGTTCTGAGTTCTGGACCCCCCAACCCCAAAACCCGAGACCCAGCAGTCCACAATTCTGGGGTTCAGGGGTTGGCAAAATGTGTATGAATATATGAAAGGTTGAATGAAACATTTTTGAAAGATGTCTCATATCAAATGTTAAGTCCCGAGTTTCGAATTTCAGGTTTCAAGACTCCAGGTTTCGGGACTCAGCACTCCCGAAATCCAGAAGTTGAAACTCGGGATTTGACATTTGATATGAGACATCTTTCAAAAATGTTTCATTCAACCTTTCATATATTCATACACATTTTACCAACCCCCGAACCCCAGAATTGTGGACTGCCGGGTCTCGGGTTTCAGGGTTCGGAGGTCCGGAACCCGGAACTTGGAACTCAGTATGTGTAAACAAAAATATATTTCAAACATGGGTAAGTCAATGTGTTTGCCAATCAACTCAATTGTAAATCAAATTTTATTGATCTCCCCAAATCTCCCCAAGTTCCGAGTGCCGGGACCCCCGAACCCCGAACCCCGAGACTGCCGGGTCTCGGGGTTCGGGGGTCCGGAACTCGGAACTCGGTATGTAGAACAAAAATATATTTTAAACATGGGTAAATCAAATTTTATTGATCTCCCCAAATTTCCCGAGTTCCGAGTTCCGGGACCCCCGAACCCCGAGACCTGGCAGTCCACAATTTCGGGGTTCAGGGGTTGGTAAAATGTGCATGGATATATGAAAGGTTGATTGAAACATTTCTGAAAGATGTCTCATATCAAATGTCAAGTCCCGAGTTTTGATTTCCGGGTTTCAGGACTCCGGGTTTCGGGACTCTGGGCTTCGGGACTCAGCACTCTTGAAACCCAGAAATCGAAACTTGGGACTTGACATTTGATATGAGACATCTTTTAAAATGTTTAAACCAACCCTTCATATATCCATACACATTTTACCAACCCCCGAACTCCGAAATTGTGGACTGCCGGGTTTCGGGGGTCCGGGGTCCCGGAACTCGGAACTCGGAACTCGGAATTTGGTATGTAAGACAACAAAAATATCTTTCAGGGTTCAGGGGTTAGTGAAATGTTTATAGATATACGTAGATTAATTCAAACATGTCTGAAAAATTTCGTTCATCTCAAATGTCAAATCCTGAGTTCCGGACTTCGGGACTCAGCACCCGGCAGTCAGGGTTGGGGGTTCGGCACTGAAAATTTGACATTCGGGTGTTCAGGTTTTGGGTGATATCTAAATCAACAACTTCGAGTTCTGCCAAAGCGTGAAACTTGAAACCCAGTGTGCAACATGTTGATTTTTCATTTATATCACACAAATCATCGAGTTCCGAGTGCCGAGGGCTGAGACCCAAAGCCTGAGACCTGAAAATATGTACACAACATGTCCATTTTTCACTCACTGCACAAATCACCGAGTTTCGAGTGCCAAAGCGTGAAACTTGAAACCCAGTGTGCAACATGTCCATTTTTCATGTACATTACACAATTCATTGAGTTCCGAGTGCCGAGGGCCGAAACCCGAACCCCGAGACCTGAAAATATGTATGCAACATTTCCATTTTTCACTTGTTGCACAAATCACCGAGTTTCAAGTGCTGAAACCCGAAACTCGAAACCCGGTGTGCAACATGTTCATTGTTCATTTACATTACACAGATCATTGAGTGCCAAGGGCAGAATCCTAAAACCCGAAGCCCAAAAACATGTATGCCACATGCCCATCTACTCATTGCACAAATCACCAAGTGTCGAGTGCCGAAACCCGAAACCCGGTACTTCAAATCAGTAGTCGGGTACTTGGTACTTGGTTCTGATACTTGGTACCCGAGAATCAGTAGTCAGGTACTTGGTACTTGGTTCTAATTCTCGGTACCTGGGAATCAATAGTTGGGTACTCCAGCCAATAGTCCCGAGTCCCGAGTACTGATATTTGGTATTCGGTAGTCAGGTTTGGAACTTGGGTCTTGGTTTGGTTATCATTTGACTGAGATATTGGTAGGCAATATTGGCACTCGGAGCTCAAATACTGACTATCAACTATCAAGTGTCGGGACTTGGTAATCGGTAGTTGAGACTTGGTGCTTAAATGGATATTGCATATATACATAAAAATACAAAATATGTTCCTATGTGTTCATTTCTAGGTGAACAGAC